CAATTCAAGGCACTCTCCTCTTTGATGCTGCCATATTTAAAACTAAAAAAGGATAGAAATAACATATCCAATGAATGAACCTGAATGCATTCTTTCCCACAATTTGTTCAACACGTGTCTACCATAAGTATAAAGGTAAAGCTGTATCCTCACATGGGAGGAATGGGAAGTACAACAGGACAGAGGGTGAAAATACTCGGAGCGTTCATCCGGGACTTCTGCCTGCTCTGTCTACCGGGCATCGTAACACCCATGGACATGGATGAGTGAAAGTGTAAATGATGGAGAAGAACATCCCATAGAGAGACCCCCTACAGAGAAGGAATGCTGGCTCAGGGATCAGGGTCTCAGGACAGGTCTCAGCGGCACCCGAGGACAAAGGGTAGCTCTACTGTCCGCCATGTTTGTTTACGCTGATCAAGGTGAAATGGACTCATAGGAAATCCCTTTGTACAACGACTTGAAAAATAAGCTTAAAAAAATGAAATGAAGGCAACTTCATGGTGAAGCAGAGGTCTGGAAGTGTGAGGCCTTGGGTTCAATCCTTCATACCAGAACAAACAAAAATTCGAATTAGAAACAAGCATGGAATCGTAGGACTGTCTGTCCTCTGAAAGGAACTTACTTCGAACTCCTGGGCAAGAATAGGCATTTGGCCTCTTTAGTTATCTCCAAGATAACTCTTTAGTTATCTCCAATGTAAGTGTAAAATGAATGAATGAATTTTTTGGGGGGGGGGTCGGTTGTGGGGCGCTGTCCCTGAGCTCTTTTGCTCAAGACAAGAGCTCTACCACTTGAGCCACAGCTCCATTTCCAGTTTTCTGAGTGGTTCACTGGAGGTAAGAGTCTCATGGACTTTCCTGCCTGGGCTGGCTTCGAACCATGATCCTGAGATCTCAGCTTTCTGAGTGGCTAGGATTATGGGCGTGAGCCACCGTGAGTGTTCGACTAAAATAAAATTTTTTGAGTATATGGTATATGGATATTTAGTCTATCTGGTGAAGTGTCTATAATTGTAGACTAACTAAAAGTAAGAAAATAGTTGAAAAATACTTGGGAAAAAAGGTTTAAAGTGCTATATGTATGTGTCATGTAGATGAAAAGGTTTGTGTGGGGAAAATACCATCTAGGCAGAACAGTTCTAAAATACTCTGTCATTCTGCCTTTATTTTATTGTCTTGGGACTTGAACTCAGAACCTCATGCTCTTGCTTGGCTTTATCTCTCAAGGCTAGAGCTCTATCGCTTGAACCAAAGCTCCATTTTTGGTCTTTTATCGCCGGTTTATTGGAGGTTAGAGCCTCGTGGACTTTTCTGTCCACATGGGCCTCATACCTTGATTATCAGATATTAGCTTCCGGAGCAGCTGGGATTACAGGCAGAGCCACAGTGCTGGGCTTTTCATTCCTTTGAAGGAACCTTTCTCTTACATGGCCTCTTGTTTGCATATCAATCAAAAGCGTTCTTATAGAACAAACTGGGATATTAGTCACCAACCTTGAAAAGTCACTGTGTTTGTAGCTAATAGATACACAGCAAAGAGCCCTTATGTCATTAGTGATAACTTTAGTGATCTTTTGGTCCACAGTTTTGCATGGTTTATTAATGGCATAACACATTAATTCTTCTTTCAGGGTGACCTTTCCAACACTATTAATCCTCACATCTTTTACCTAACTACATTACTATTCATTACAGTGTTAGCTTTCAACATCTGCATGCACTGGAAAAGAAAAAAAGTAAATTGCAGTGGCCTCAATACCTTGGAAAAAAAGAAAATATTTTTTTCCAGGAAAAAAAAAAATTGTGTTTTGGTCATGAGCGGAGAAAGGCATAGGATAAATGTCATGGTATGATGTCTTACCTTTATAAAATCCTATGCCATCTTTGGGAATGCTGAGTTAAAGTCCTGAATTGAAAACACAACTCTCTATATACGATAAGATATCTCTAGACTACTTATTCAATCGTTAAATATTTTAGTTCCGATAACATGGCAAAAGTTAAGTCAAATATCAACACTGATATTTATGAGCCTTCGTGTATATTGGCCTAGTGAATCCTTGCCAAATAAAATATTTTCTCTGTTACATGCTTCGTACATAAAAGCAAATCTTCCCGTCTGGCCATTTAGAATGCAAAGCAGAATACCAGCATTCGAGCATAACGATGAAAGAGCACATTTGTATCCCAAACTTCTTCAAACTTCTTTAAACTTCAGTTTTCTCTATGTCTCTGCTAACAGCTGCCCTGCCTTGGCCCAATGCTGAATTCCTCTACACCAATCGTCTCAAATTCTACTCTGTGGGGATTAAAGCATTTGAAATTCACTCCTTCAAATCAATGCTCTATCCGGTCCCCACTTTCTCTGAACCTGGAACGTTTTTTTTTCCTCATTATTTCTCTCAGTCTCAGATAAAAGATGCACTTTTCTCTTTTCTAAAGCTAATCCTTTCTCTTGACTCTCTTCATTCGGATACACCTTTTACTCTCATTTCCTATAGTCACTTCCCAATTTACAAAATTTACCAAAAAGATTAGCCTACATCATCAACAGCACTGTCTTTGCTCATACTCTGAATCTTTGTCATCGGAAGCCTGCAATTCTACTAAAATCCTCTTTGTCAAACTCTACCTATCTGTGAACTCCAGCTAACTCCTAAGGCTTTTCTTCTTCGCGCTCCAATTTGCTGTGGGATTGGCCATCATTAAATACCCTTTCTTTTGGATGAAATGTACAGTTTTCCCAGGCTGGGATGTTACTTCCCGTTAGCTTTCCTACTGAGAAACCTGTGGTGGTTTTACAACCTGCCCAATGGTTCTTCCTTTAAAAGTTGGAGCCTAATTCTACTTCCATGGAGTGGGGCTGTTCTGGGTCTCATAATGAGAAGAATCAAGCAGAACCCTGTGAGATTGTAGCACAGGTCAGAGAAGGAACTAGAGCTTTGGTGCTCTCTTTCTCTCAGATCATGCCCTTGGAGAAGATAACTCAGGTTATGAGCAGCCAGAGGGCCAGACCTATGTGGCAAAGAGCTGAGGTCTCCAAACCAGAGCTGTGTAAGGGAGGCCATCTTGGATATAGACCATCCAGTCCCCACGGGCTCCTGTCAGTGTCTCCACCAGGATCATGGCGAATCCTAAGCTGGCATTAACCAGCTGAACTGCTCCTCGGGACATGTGAGGACATCAATGCTGGTTGTCTAAAGTGGCTAAGTTTTAGGGCATTTTTTTTCATGCAATAATGGGAAATGGAAACTATAGGTCGCAACTGGGATTCCTGACTTCTTACACAGGCGTCTCCTTTTCCAGGAAACTTTATCTCCTCTTGGCTGCCGCACACCCTGTTTCTCTAGCACGCTGTGGCATTATCAGTACCCCAATGCGTCATTATGCTCCACTTCTGACACGTACCGCATTTTGTATTTATGTCGTTCTCCAAATTGTGCTCCACGTTGGTGTTCTCTTCCATAATTAAAGGAGACACAATCATTACTTCAAAAACTCAAAACGCTAGACTCCTTTGACCCTTACCCCAGATATATTTGGTTGTGGATGACGTGTCAATTTTCATTTAAATAGTTTCTCTCCCATTGACTCCTCCCTTTTATCACAGTTTATTTCTTTATTATTATTTATTATTTTTGGTTGGTTGTAGGGCTTAACCTCAGGGCCTGGATACTGTCCCTGCTCAAGGCTAGTGCTTTACCACTTTGAGCCCATTTCCGGTTTTCTGGGGGTTCACTGGAGATAAAGAGTCTCCCGGACTTGCTGACTGAGCTGCCTCTGAACTGCGATTCTCAGATCTCAGCTTCCTGAGTAGCTGGGATTACAAGTGTGAGCCACCAGCGCCCAGCTTCAGCATTTATTTCTATCCTGTGCAAAGCACTCTTGCTAATTTACTTTAGAATAATGGTTTCCTGATTCCAGGAGCTTTCTTCTGTTATTGATGCTCTTTGCAAAGTTCTGATCCTCTGCTATCTGGAGAAGAAACCCCAATTCCTTAGGAGGGTGTATCATCTGATTTCAGTTTTAAGCTTTTTCCATTTTCTAGCACGTAGGCACTTGATACTTTATCAAAATCAGTGCATTTCTCAAACATTATATTACTCCTTTTTTTTCCCCTTACAGATCAGAATGCCCAAGAACATGTTTGTACTGCAAAGCTTAGGTTAGACTATGCTATCTCAAAGTTAGTCTTTTCTGATTCTTCCCAAATAGAATCAGACATGCACCTCTCTTGGCCTGCAGATTTATAACGAGGCTCTGGATTAGCTCTTGCTATAGCCATTTTGTGTTATAGCATAAATAGCTTTTCTCCAACGTCAACCTAAGCTGACTATTTGATGGCCAGTATGTCTAGCCGCTCCATAATTTTATGTAATAAACATTAAATCAATGTGTGTTGAATTAAGTACATGTGTGCAAATTTACCTATATATCATGAAACAAAAAACTATTGAAATTTGTCTGCCTGTGGGAGCACTCTAGTAATAACAATACTCCACACTACTCCATCAAATCCAGGCAGCATTCTTCAAGCAGAATGGATCAGAAGAAAGAACCCATCCTGGTGGGCAGCAGCTAATCTAGACATGATGCATCTCGTTACTACCTACACTGCGTACGCCAGGCGACAGGAAAGGCAGGATCTCTAACCACGGCAGCCTGAGAATATGACTATTAGGCAGTTAGGGCGACTGAGGTAATTCTCTCTCTCTGATAAACTTGAAAGACAAAACTTAACACATATAAACACAGGAGACATGCAGCGTCACCTCCCGGAGAAGATTACAGGCTTGGCCCTTCATTTGCAAATTTCCTTGGCGTGTTTGAACAGGTGGGGGGCAATTCCACTTGAGATTCCTAGCTGAGCCCGATCTGGGCCTGGGGTTTTGTATGACAGCAGAGATCATCAGAGATATGATCTCATCCAACCAATCACCGCCAAGGGGGAGGGTGGGGGGGGGGAATCAGCAAGGACAGGAGGGAGACAGCACTTACCTATTGTGCTAACTCTGGCTGAAGGGCTGGCCAGGGGAGCGGGGACCGAGGCTTTGAGGGGGCCTGCCCCGCTGTTTAGTCTCAGCGCTGGCATGTGGGGGGAGGTGGGCGATGTGGGCGACTTGCCATCGGAGGTCTTGGGTTTGGCGGATAGGTTCAGTGGCTGTGCTACTTCATCCTGCAACGACCGTGGAACGGGGCCGTGAGAAGGGAGGGCTGGTCACAGCGTCCACCTGACGGGTCCCCCACCGGGCCCGCCTCGCTCCGGGCACAGCCGGGCACAGCCGGGCACCTCGGGCCACCGCTAGCTAGGGGCTACACCTTCCCAGCCCAGGGCAGGCTGTACACAGGGCTTCCACCTGGAAGAAACAGTCTTTAAACGCTATTCTTCATGCTATTTACATTTGTTAAGAGACATTACAATGTTCATTTAAAACTAGGAGGCAGGTGGGATTTTAGTCCTTCCTTCCTTCCTTGCCTCATTCTTTTCCTTCCTTCCCTCCTTGCTTCCTTCCTTTCCTTCCTTCCCTCCCTCCTTCCTTCCTTCCTTCCTTGCCTCATTCTTTTCCTTCCTTCCCTCCTTGCTTCCTTCCCTTCCTTCCTTCCCTCCTTCCTTCCCTCCTTCTTTCCCTCCTTCCTTCCCTCCTTTCCTTCCTTCCTTCCTTCCTTCCTTCCTTCCTTCTTTCCTTCCTTCCTTGCCTCATTCTTTTCCTTCCTTCCCTCCTTGCTTCCTTCCCTTCCTTCCTTCCCTCCCTCCCCCCTTCCTTCCTTCCTTCCTTCCTTCCTTCCTTCCTTCCTTCCTTCCTTCCCTCCTTTCCTTCCTTCCTTCCTTCCTTCCCTCCTTCCTTCCTTCCCTTCTTTCCTTCCTTTCCTCCCTTCCTTCCATCCTCCCTCCCTCCCTTCCTTTCCATCCTTTCTTTCTTTCTATTTGTGCTGGTCCTGGGGCTTGAGCTCAATGCCTGGGCACTGTCCTTGAGCATCTTTTTCTTTAAAGCTGGTACTCTACTATTTGAACCACAGCTCCACTTCTGGCTCTTTTGGTATATTGGAGACTTTCCTGCCCTGCCTGGACCAGCTTTGAACCTTGATCCTCAGCCCTCAGCCCTCTGAGTAGCTAGGATGACAGATGTGAGCCACAGGTGCCCGGCTTAGTTTTGTTTTTGTTTTTCTCACATCCAAGGAGGAGGGACCTGAAATCTGAAACATTTTTCTACTTTTGGGTAAAGGACATCCAAGGTGAAGGACTTAAGTAGTTACCTAGCTCTGGTCAGACAGAGCCTCCAAATGACATCTGAAAAGAGAACATTTCCTGACTTTCTCTGGGTTTCAGACAAAACACTTTTGGATTTGATCTAAAAATGAGAATAAACACAATTGACATTGTCCAAATATGTTCTACTTATTTGTACATGATACTGTGTGCTTGGCACTTTCCTTAGAGTATACTACATGTGGTATCAACATCTGGGTGTGATTGGCGGTCTACAGTTATTGTATAGCCAAACGGTTTTAACTCAATTGCACACCTTTCTATAGTAGCTCTTAGATAATTCCTACACAAATTCATGGATACAGTATCACCAAACTTTATATCACACAATGTAAGAATCAAATTAATAACATAGCACCACTCTTTTTAAACATTGCCGAGAAGGCTGGTTCATTCACTTCCTGTACTCTCCAATTGGAATAGCGTGGCCCTCTTTTGTACATGTTACTGTGTGTGTGTGTGTGTGTGTGTGTGTGTGTGTGCGTGCCCGTGCACATGTGTGCTAATAGTGGGGCTTGAACTCCAGCCCTCCCATTCTCTTAGTTTTCTTGCTCTAGGCTGGTATCTGGCACTTGAGCCACTACTCCACTTCCAACTTTGGGGTGGTTAACTGGCGGTAAGAGTCTCACAGAATTTCCCGCCAATGATGGCTTTGAACTGCGATCCTAAGATCACCACCACATGAGTAACTAGGATCATCGGCATTAGCCACTGGCACCTGGACATTAGTGAACAAAGAAATTAGAGATTTTACTGCAGAGCACAAGTTTGGCTTCTACTTAGTTACTTGTTCATGAGTTAACTATTTACCAATAATAGGACAATTTACTGAACACAAAACAATCTTTAACTGAATGGGCTAATTAGGGGAGAGAAAAACACGTGTTAGCAAACATCTACAGCAATGGTATGTACATATTTATCCATAAATGTTGAGAGAAATCCATTTGAAAGATATGGTGGCTGGTCAATGGTATAAAATGGCTTTGTTAAATGGTAACCCCTTTGTATGACTATTAAATAATAAAAAGATTTTTTTTAAGGTGACACCTGACTTTTAGGTGGGTTATTTGTGAGTTATAATTTGATCCTGTGGTTTGGTGGATTTATACAACCCATGAACTACTATGATGAATTATTCTTATGACTCCTCTGTTCAAGTGCTATTGTTGGTTTCAGAGAAAAGTTATTTGAAAATTCCGAAGATCATTCTGGCAATATGGTATCATACGAACTCTGTCTGTCTGCCTGCCTGTCTGTCTAGTTCAGAAACATGGAAGTATTGCGTATCTACTGTACAGACTCGGTTATGGATAAACAGTTCTTAAAATGGGCCCCCTGGACAGCAGTAACATCTCTTGTGGACTTGTTTCTAGGCATGGTCCGTATCACAGGCCCTTTAGCATCCTGTATTTCGGTCAGTATTCCCAGGAGATTCTGGAGTATCACAGAGTTTAAAAGCCATTGCCTGACACAGGAAAACCTACAGAAGTTTCACAGGCTTCAAAAACGGTTTAAGGAAACCATTTCTCAATAGAAGGGGGTTCACATTAAAAAAAAATATGCACTATTACCTCCAGTCTTTAAAACGTGTGTGGGCGGTATCATCTGCTACGGATGAAAATGGAAATATTCCTTTGCAGAATAAATTTGCTAAGTTTCCGTGGGGTGACGGGATTAGAACCCAGACCTTCCCTTATGAAGCCCAACTGTCCTAACTGTTTGGTGCTATTTACTTGGCACATGCTGTATCTTTCTTCTCCCTTCTCTGCGATACCAGTGGCTTCTGTCACAGAACTAGAACTTTTTTTTTTTTGGTCAGTCCTGGGCTCTGAGCTTGAGCTTTGAGCCCTTGAGTATTACTTCATTTTAGCATATGTGCACTAACATTTACATGGGCTTGAGCTCTGTCACGAAGCTCCTTTTGCTCAAGGTTAGCATTCTACCACGAGAGCTACGTACACAGCAGCACTTCTGGCTTTTTGAGGGATTAATGGGAGATAAGAATCTCACAGACTGTCCTGCTTGGGCTGGCCTCAGCAGTCCTCAGATCTCAGCCTCCTGAGTAGCTGGGATTACAGGCGTGAGCCACCAGTGCCTGGGCTGCACAGCTGTCTGCAAGGCCAAAAAGTTCAAGGCTCCAAGGACATCATCAAGGTTGACAGTCTCAAAGCTGATACAAATGTCATTAAACTCTCTCCTTTTTTCTTCCCTTTCATGACGTGGCCAGGCTAATGGTACAGTTCATAAGAATCTCCTCCCTCCCCCCCCCCCCCACACACACACATAATCTTTATACTGCTAATGGTATAAATAATTTTGACCCATAATAGGACATTATCTCACAACTTGGTTCTTTTAATAATTTACTATGGAGATAGCTCACCATGCCTATTACTCGTGAAAAATACAACAATTACAGAACTTTCTCATTTTCTATTCATTATTGTTCCTTTGCCTAGATGAAAATTTAAAAACCTTATCTAGGATGGACCTGACTATTTTATGACCTGCAGTCTCATAATCAGGAACTTGAGCAGTAAAACATGGGAATTCAAGCTTTCTGTGTGTGTGTGTGCGTGTGCGTGTGCGTGTGTGTGTGTGTGTGTGTGAGTGTGTGTGTGTGTGTGTTGGTACGGGGCTTGAACTCGGGCCCTGAGAGCTGTTCCTTAGTTTTGTCACTTGGGGCTGGCACTCTACCACTTGAGCCACGGCTCCACTTGCACTTTTGGTGGGTTAATTGGAAGTAACTGTCTGCTGTGCTTTCCTGCCCAGGCTGGCTTTGAACTTGACTGAGCTCAGCTTCCTCAAGAGCTACGACTGCAGGCATGAACTACTGTTATCTGACTTCTGTTTTGGTTTTTACCTGGAATAAGTTATTTAGAAGGTATGGGGAAGGTTAACCTGGCTAACCTTATTTCTTATGAATAAAATATACACGAAAGTGTAATCTTCCATTCATAAATAAAATAAAAATTTATAAATAAAAGAATGCAGGTAATTGCCAACATCAGGCATGCATTGCTACTAAACACATGAAAAATTAGAGAGGATCGCCATTGCCCTCTAATTACTTGCCCAGTTATTATTGAAACTTTGGAAAATATCAAAATCCATAAATAATTCACTTATACAAAAGTGATCATTAAGAATTTATGTAATTGTTAAATGGATTTAAACTTGTATCTGTAAATCTCAGGTTAAGTAAGTTTAAATAAACATGTAAGATAATGTAAACATGTTTTAGCTAGTAAGAAGCTTTTGTTTACAGTTATAGATTTCATTATTAATATCTTAAATCATTTATTTAATACTCAATACTGTGAAGTTTTTAATAATTTCATGGAAGTAATGTAGGCTCAGAAAGCTTTGAGTCAACACAGAATGCATTCTAATTTATAGAACTTTAATCCTATATTTAAAGAGAGTCAAATGGAATGCAATTTCTGCTACTTAGACATAGTCATATAGTTCTATCATGGAACAAACCATGTGAATGTTAGTGCACATACACTAAAATTACATTTTTTTTTCTTTAGATCACATTAAAATTTGAGGCACAGCCAGGTACTAGTGGCTCACACCTGTAATCCCAGCTACTCAGGGGGTAGAGATCTGAGGATCAAGGTTCAAGCTAGCCAGGACAGGAAAGTTCGTGAGACTTTCATCTCCAATGAACCATCAAAAAAACAGAAGTGGTGCCGTGGCTCAAGTGGTTGAGCACTAGCCTTGAACAAAAGAAGCTCAGGGACAGCGCCCAAGAGTTCAAGACATCAAAAAGAGAGAGAGAGAGAAAGAATTAATTTTTTCCTTTGGTAATACTAAAAACTTTCTTAAATATGCTATTTGAGAAAAATCCTAAGGATTCACGTAAATCCATACATGGTACAACAGTATTCTGGGTCTTC